ACACACACACACACACACAAACACAATGGTTCGTCACAATATGCTTTTTTGCATTTGCATATTATGCAAAAACGCATAAAAACCGTAGGTATGACATGTATAAAAGAAGTTTTACTTGATCGACGATATGCCTTGGGTGTCGGTTATCGATTTTTATTGAGCCGATCACTGCTTCACCGGGTGCATACGCAGATTTCGGTATCTGCACATCGGCAGTTAGCTTTCCACGGCAGCAGCAGCCTCCAAATGATACTGTTTCGGAGGCGCCCACCGGATGACTGCTCGCTTCTGCCAGCGATTCCACTGGAGCGATTACCGAGAGCGGCTTCTTGGCTACGTATTCACGCTAGAATGCATTTTCACCGTCTATAAACGATTTCGTAAACAAAGTAAATAGAAAGTCTCATCACAATACGTTCGGGTTGGGATGAAGAGTGAGCTAAAAAATCACTAATTATAGACTACTTCTAGACCTCCATTGTATGAATGTGTCCAATGTTGTGGTACTTAGCTAAGTACAAATCACGTGGATTTGCTAATCACACCATCTATTTCATCAGTTTTGTCACTTCACGTCTGCAAAAAATTTGAAATGCTGCATAGAATACCAGGAATTCCAAGACCGCTCGAACTAACCGTGTAAGTACCCTTTCTTAGTAATGCTACTGGGATGCTCCCACGCTCAGAGCGCAACTATGCCAGGTCCTTCGATTCTGGAAAGCATTACCTAAATATCGACCTAGAGATGCACTAATCAGGACGTTACATTATGCTACATCACATTAAATATGTGCATTACACACTTTACGCTATTTTACCTTCCATAACTCGGTATTTTATAACAAGCAGATAAAATGCATTGGGGTGAAATACAATTTGAGAATGCTTTGGGAAAAGCTGATATGATACGAAAATCTGCGCTCAAACCAAATCATTACGCGTTTTTTACTCAGATTTTTGAGACTTATCACTCGTTCAATAAGTGCAGCAATTGTTTCTGTATGGGCCATTTCTTCCGTTCCACTCATTTGCTCTCTTACCTTTCAACAACTTTACAAAAATACTATGAATTATCAAACGCACGGCCTCTTACCGAACATGCTGTACAATGTACACCGCCATTTCATACTTGTGAAAAAGGTTCGGGACCATGTACTCCACTGGCTTGCACATTCGACTCTTAGGCGGCTCTAGGCTTCGATAACTCAATTAAATATCAATTGTGCCTCCCCACTAATTTGAACAACAGAAATTCGAAACACCTTACCGATTCGGCTTTAGCCTCTTCAACAACAGTAGCACGAATGAAGTAACGGATGAAGCCGTGAGGATTTTCGTACGAAGTTGGACAACCAATTGGTAGCGGACACTCGAAAGGCAGGCTGTACAGGAAATCAGCAATCCACGGGAAGTGTCCGGGCTCCGGCCTGCCCGGTGGCCGTTCTAGCAGTGTAAAATCTTTGTCGAAATATACCTGCAGTAAAAATTATTGATCAGAAAGCCCGGAGTGCTCTCGAACAAGTAGCTAGTGGCTCTCGAACTTCGCTGCAGATCGACACAGGTGGATGGTACTAAAACATCAAATACGCAGTAACTCTAAAAAATTCATCGCGAACAAAAAAGACTAAAAAGCGACAAGTAGCGAATAGCTCCCGAACTCTGCTGTAGATAGAGTTACTCGTTACTTGTTGCTCACCAGTCTTTTTTGTTAATGATGAGCTTGTTGGAATCGCTGCATTTTTGACGTTTTATCTGTCTGAGTTTCACGAAAAGAAAAATGAACCTTTTCAATCTCTGCACCTTTCGAGGAATCGCTGGTTGTGCATGCGGCGCGTCCTTTAAACTGTAGCTTAATAGCCTGTATTGTCATCGGTTGTTTCAGTTCAATTTTCAGATTGCCGGTGATCAGCTCGCCACCATGAAACACCGGCTCACGGCCCGCGTGCAGTTCAATTTCAAACCGCCGGAATACATTATCCGCAGTCGGCATTGTGGCGTAGCAGAGAGTTCAAAAAAACACAGTTTTGTTGAAGAATCCTAAAAGGACTACTATAAAAAAAGTGCATGTGTTATTCCGAGCTACTACAGGAACTAAAATTCTGGGGAATTTTCCCGGAACCAAATATCTGTTAGCAACAACATTAGAAACAACAATACTATAGCGCGTAAAATGGCGTTGATCAAGTTTTTGAAAGAGTTTTGTCTGAGAATCCACATTATAAACCTTATGCGTGCGCTTAGCTTTCAAAAACTGGAAACATTCGGCAGCATAACTCCTCCTGGTCAAATCTGCATTCTTCTGACAAACACCGATCGCACTTTTAGTTTTTTCCCGCGAATTAAGCATCTCACGTTGCCTTAACGTCATTTTCAAATAACCAACCAAATCTGACACTATTCTAACAAATGCAAACTTTTCGTCGCAAATCTTGGCGGTACTGTCGCCATCTGATGGCCAGGCACGTGCAACATATTCATGTACTACTCTTTCCACTACTTGAACCAAATATGGCAGACAGATTGAAAATTTTTAATTTCACTGTAACTCATATTTATCCGTAAATAAGGCTTAATTTTGTATAAGTTTATGTAAAGATATAATTGAAACAGTTCCAAAAAAAAA